TTGTTTTCTCTTTTCTTTTTCTTTTTCCTCCCCGCTCTCTCTTTTCTGTTTTCTCTTTTCTTTTCTTTTTTTTTCCTTTTTCTTCTCCTATTTATATCTCACCTGTCTCTCAAAACGATGTTGTTTCTCTTTTTTTTTTTTTTTCAGTTACTACATGCACTGTTACTTACTATTTCATAAATAATAAATTAATTTAGAGTTTAAATGTAGTTTTCTTCCTCAAATTAATACCAAACAATTATTGATTTTGACACGTTATTTATTTATTTATTTTTGTTGACATTTCAAAATGCCCTTTTTTTTCTTTCTATTATAGCCAAATATATATTAGGAAATATTATTATTTTAATTATTTAACTATTTGTCGTATTACCCTTAAATTTTAAAGACGTTTTCTAATTACAATTTGGTTATTTAACTTACAAGATTATTCAATACATCATTTTTTAATGTAACTATAAAAATTTTGATAAATAACGATACAAAATTGTTTATCTTATATCCATAATTGGTCTATTTATATAATTTGAAATCATTAGAGACGTGTAGGTATTTTATATATATGTATATATATATATATATATCTTTCTTTTTGTTTTTGTTCCCTCTCCCTACGCAAATTACTTAATACATAACAATAATTGTAATTTAAATATCCATTGTGGTTTCATTTTCAATAATGAAACCAAATATGTGGCTCCAAAAATTAAAAAAAAAAAAATTAAATCGAACAAAACTTCTTGACCTGATAATCTTTATAATGATTCTTCATTTTCTTGTCAAGAAAATTTGTTCCAGAAGATTGGAATTCTGAAATGGATGACCCAGAAAATGTTATCTCAAGTTTGACTTGCACATGTAAATCCAAACATGGTGTGGCTTTCAAATAATCTTCTCAATATATATATATATATTCAACTTTATCACCAAGAGATCAAAATTTTAAATTTTAATAAATTTTATTTTTAAAAATTACCCTTAGTTTCCATAATAGAATTAATATTATAATAGATTTTTAAGTAAAGTATAAGCAATATATTTTACTTTTATTTTTTTTAGATTAGAGTGTGTTAATTGTCTTTTATTATAAATGGATTTATTGATTATTCACCCGAAGAGTTATAAGAAAAATAAAGAGACCGCGATTAGCCCATGCTAATTATAAATTAATTAAAAATTACATCCTATTCTCAACGGGGTATAATATTTATCAGCTAGTTACAGACTTGCGTGGCACGATCAACGGCTCTGATTGCTGGAGGACACAATCGTGTTACCACTGGATCACTTATGGTGAGAAATAGTCCACTGTACTATGTACTTACGGAGATTTCCTATGTCATATCGGGCGATTTTTCCGTGCCATGAGAATCAATCAATAATCACTGATGAACTCGATTAACTCAACTCAGCAGCGAGTCAACGCTGTCACCAGCACTGGTCAGTCTCCCAGTTCCGTCTCGTGTACGACGAGAACCCTGAAGAAACCGCCGAGTTCAACGGCCTTCCCCGCCGAGCAAATCTCCGGTCGTAAACAGCGCGCTTCTCGGGGTCCGATAACGTGGAGTACGCATCGTGAATCTTCATAAACTCGCCGGCCGACGAGTCCTTCCGATCGGTTGCAACTACATCTGGATGACAGACCCTTGCTAGTCGTCGGTACGCGGACTTGATTTCCTGGCTCGTGGCCCCCACGGGAATTCCCAAGATATCGTAGAGCGAAGTGCAGGAAGACGCCATCCCGTGGGAGTTAAGGTACGTGGAGCAGGTGGAGGAGGTGGCTGTGGCGGTGGCCCGAGGCGGATGGTATCCGGTGCGAGATGGTGCAGGAGTAGGGGATTTGTTTGAGTTCGGGGGAAGGGAGAGGATGGAGGGAGAGAAAGTAGAAGAATAGAGCATGGTACGGTGTCGTTCTGTAATGGAGGTTTGAGAAAGTTGAGATGTTGGGGATGGGGGTCAGGGATTATATAAGGGGAAAGTGTAGGGGTTAATATTTAATTGATGTTAAATTGAATTTTCACCGGGCTAAGACAAAATTAGTTTTTTTTTTTTTTTTAAAAGGGGGAATAACAGAATATCAATAAAGTTTTGGGGCTGAGTCAGCTGAGAGTTTATCCAGTTCGATGTTAATGGATGCTCACGCGCCTAGATTTGAACTTCTTGGTTGACGGTTTTAAATGAGTCGGCAAATAGATCAATCAGAGAGATATCATCATCGTCCCCTCCTCTTCCTGCTTTCAAATTTTCCTTCTTCTCCATCCTTAACGCCAAGTTACATCGCTCGTTTGTCAAGTCGGTGAACTAGCTTAGTTCGTGCTTGTAGGTTCGCACGGACAGAGTTCTGTTTGTTGACAAGCCTGAGATTGTTCTCGAATATCTTGAACCGAAGCTCCTTCTGCGTTGAGTTTACTGCAGTTCTTCCCCGCGCTTGATCAACCAATGCTCGTACACTTCCATCATGTGCGCCTTAATCTGCGATGATTTCGTAGGATCATCGATGATGGAAATGGAGGTCAATCGATAAAGAGAAGAACATGAACAGGATCACATTTCGTCGCCACGATAGACCGATAGATCTTTGCTTAGGTCGCAGATCTACCTCTTCCTTTGAAATGTGTTTCGCACGTATCCATTCATCACAAGACTGCCTGGTAATTTTCCTGTCATAGGTTCCTAATGTAGTTTACATTTCAATCGAAATTGATGTCTGCAGAAAAGAAAATTTGACTAGATACTTTTAGCTGAAAATTTTGTTGTCCTTGAATCAATTAGCGTTCTTATTAGGTTGGATTGTTCACCGGGAGGAAGAAGCTTATTAGGCAAAAACATACAGATGTCTGGGCAGTCTTAAGTAGAGAGATGATCTGAAGGTAAATTTTCTTTTCCGGGAAAATCGCAGAAGAGGAAGGCAGGGCTCCATCTTTTATAGTTGATACATGATGGAATAAGTGTTTGATTTTTGTTTTTCTTTTGGCCTCTGTTTCTGTGAATGTGTGTATATATATATATATATATATATATATTTAATTTGTAGATCATGATATTAAGTTGCATTAGACTGGGAAATGAAATGAATCTCTAGTTCTTTTTTTGAAAAACAGAAACAAAAATAGGAACATCCATATAACTGTAAAATTTAGTGCAATAGATTTTGGATAATTTTAATATAGAATGGTATTTTATACAATAGGAATTGCATACTGATGTGAATCCGACTACTAAATTCCAAGCCAATTTATGAGGTGTTAAATTCGAACTTGATCAGATGATTTTATTATATTTATATTTATATTTATATAATAACATCTATTGATTTATATCGCTGTAACTATAATCATATTTATTAATATAACATAATTTTGTGGCCAAATAAGGAATAACCTCAAAGTAAAAGAATCATGGGATCGACGTAGACTTGTTTTTTCTTTTGACTTTTGTATGATGAATATATGGTTAATCACATGAATTTTTATTTTCTTTTCTTCTTTTTCCCCCAAATTTAATAATTCTAAATTACTGGCATGTGGAGGTTGCTTTCATGACATGAGTATGAAAGGTACATAACAAAATGGTAATGGTTGCAGGCCACTACCAATAATTAGTGGTATTCGTGATTTAAGAGATGACATAAATTAACATTAATCTCAATTTGGAAAAATCTTTAATTACAAAAGTTGGTCTTGATTTTTATCTATTTTATTTTATTTTTAAAGAAAAATTATATATTCACAAATTATATCACATTAACACATAATTTAACACCAAAAAAAATTTTAAGTGAGTTATCGTAATACAATAAATAACCAATTGTGTAGTAACACAATACAATATAATAATTGTTAGGACTAAAGTAGAAGTTTTAAAATTATTTTCCGTGTAAATCTAATTATTATATTTTTTATGCATTAAATAATAATTTCTACTTTATTATGCTACTAACTTTAATTTAGTGATTCAAGTTAAAAGTAACAAATGAGTGCATGGAGTGTTATTATTTTAGTAAAAAGCTACTTTTTTCAAGATATTGTTTTTTGGTAAATTTCATTTTTAATTGTAATTGCTGATGTAAAACCCAATTCCAGATTGGGCTACTTCAAACAAGGTCCCAAAAATGCCTGGGCTTATGAACTCACAAAAGGCTTATTTGTGATTCGGCGTCGTTTTCTGGAGTTTGGATTTTTATTTCACAAAAAGTCTTGCTCTTAATAATGAAAATTTTTTATACAATTAATGTGATATTTCAATTAACCATTTAATTTACTTAGATAATGACTAATATTTCGAGTCTATGCTTGGTACATTTTTGACAAACATTAGTAATAATAATTAATAGTAACAATAATAATATAATTGATATTTGGCAAAACCAAAACGAAGTATTCTTACATTAGAATTTTATTTAATATAAAATAATTAAATAAAATATTATTACCACTAATATAATTAAAGCGGAAATTAAACATAGACCTAATCTTGTGCTAATATTCATTAAGTTAAAATTAAAAGGATATTCTGAATTTGGGTATTAGAGCTTGTACCCAAACAATATTACTAATTGATTGTGACTAATTTATACATATATATGTATATTCCAGGATCTACATATGTATATATATACAGTGATGAAAATGAACAAGTGGATTTATATAATCTGTCAATTACATATACTGTATCATATATGTCAAATTCAAACATAATGCAAAATATACGCAATATGGGTTTTGAAGGCCCTCAAGACTTTAGAATTTACTTTCGTATATTACAATTCATGCATATATTATATTATATTGTGCTATATATTTATTTGGTTTTGCAAGAAATCGTAGCTGTACTCATCAGCTTCAGAAACCAGGACTAGAGCCCGATGCATATGCACAAGTTTTGCCTGGTTGTATATTGATTAAGCTAGTGAATTTATAAATATATATGTATACATACATATACGAAAAGGGTATAATTTCTAAAGTATTCTCAGTTATTTAAATTATAGATACTCATACTTTATAAGTTTTGTTTATCAATATATATATATATATAATTCCAGCTGAATTTCCTGAATATTTTATAGAGCACTTTTCAATTTTCTACAACATTAATGGAGCATGAAACTGTCGGTAGGGAAGATATTTCACCAATTATTTATAATAAAAATTCAAACAAGAAAATTAGCCATTAAATGAATTATGTCCCAGTTAGGAAACACTGTTAGATGGAGAGGGCCGAGACCTTACTTCCCAACAGATGAAGTGTTGATGGAACCAAATTTGATAACTTATCTTTCACTAACTGGGAAGTTGAATTATCTGTCCCTTTTTTTTAATATATATATATATATATACGTATATATTTCGTATTCCACTTTATGAAACTTGTGATGTGCGCAAGAAATTGTTTTGGGAATTCAGCTGGAATTACACTTATCATGTGTGTATATATATGGCATTTCCGACATGTGTGTCGTAGTACTATATGTATAGATATATATATATATATATATTAGTATTATAAAAGAAAAACACTAATTATGAAAAAATATTATAACTAACTAATAATATTTCCATAATGGCATACCTATATACATATAGTACAAAAGATTTTGTTTACTTCCAAGCCTTGAATTTGACAAAATTAACTATTTATGGATCTTAATTAATATAATTTTATATACAATATATGTATATATATATAACAGACAGACATATATATGAACAGCTACATATATGCATGTGAATATTACTAATACAAATGTGTTTGTGTATATCTATATATATTATTGTGGGTCATACTTGGGATGCCGCATATCTCATGTGAAAGATGCATATTAATCACACCTATATATACATCAAAGGCGTATATCTCCCAGCATTAATTTGTTTTGAACGTTTCCCCCAGATAAAGATTGCTTGAAAGTTAGTTTTATCAAAGGGAGCTTCGAGGAAAGTAGTACGCTAAACATACTTACAAAAATACGCACACAAAGTCGACATTACAGTGCTACATCATATCAACTCAGTTGGATTCAGTACACACACATACATATATCTCTATCACGTAGCTCATGTGTATCTATACATGTATATGTATACATACACACATATATATAATCAAATCAAGAAATTAAAGAAACAGTAGTATAAGACGTGTAGTCGATATGTGATGCGTAACAAAAAACTCTCACTTGTTCAGCTAGGATTTTGTGGTGAAGTGGGTTATACATAAGGCATATATACATATATATATATATATATATATCTGTGTGTGTGTGCGGTTTGGCTGATTACGATATATGAGTTAACAGGGTATAACGACGAACCATCCTTCATTTCGTTTGAACTCAGAAAGAGCTCCTTGGTTGCATTATAAGGGTAACTGCCCTTACCATTTTTTTTTTCTTTTTAGCTGCAAAATCTTGGACGCATTCGTTTTATGGATGGCATGTAAATCGGTTACATGCATGTATCATAATGATAAGTTATTATCATCAATTAGTCACCGTATATATATATATATATATATATATATCATCTATTGGTGTGCATGCACCTTATATTCGTGGTAAATATATATAAATGTGGATATATATCTGTTAAGTACTTTTTCATGCTCTTTATATGATACGTACTCTTATAAATCCGTAGAGAATCAATAATAATAATAATAAAAGGAAAATCAAGAATCTTATATATATGGGGAACCCTAACCCTAGTTTCTAAAAATTAAAACTCCAAACTTACAGTAACATAAATTAGTTGATATATATACTAATTATAAAATAACATAAATAATTTTGAAATAAGTACATATACGAGAACATGATCTAATTCAAACTTATAACTTATAAACGTATTAATAATTAAATCAAATAATAATTAATTAATTCCAAAATATTAAAAACAAAGAAAACAATAACTATATATATATATATATATAAAAATTTAACATTATACTATACAATTTAGATTTTTTTCGGCACTTAAAGATCCATCATCTTCAAAATTTTGATATATCATATCAGTGAATTTTTTAGCACGAAATGTGAATAAAACTCAAACTCGGATTGTCAACTCTCTCATATGTTATGAAATATGAGAGAGTAGATGTTATTGGTAATATTATTGAGATTGAATTAAATGTAAATTTATTAAAATTTTAGATTATAAATTTCCTAAGTGGAAATTAAATGTTGAGAAAGGTTGTACATTTCGGCCCATTCAAGGTAGGGGCCCAAGCACCCTACTGTTGGATGCTTATCTCTTTCTTTTAAATAAGGCCTATATGTATAATATATATATATCTACATACACATATATGTTTTCAATGATACTGAGAGGAAGCACACACACACACATATATATATATATATATTATGATTTTAACCTAACATATGTACTTTCACCGAACAAGAACAGAAGCTTCAACCTCAATTTTAGTGAAATTGAAAAAGTATCACATGACTCCAAATGAAGGGTGAATTATACGTATATAAATATAAATATATATATATATATGTATATCTACATGTGGTTGATTGAGATTTGAATTCCATATTAGTAAATGTGGGAATACTAATATATATATATATGTATATAAAAGTAAATGTGTCATCGAATCCATGATATTCCTATGTGCATAATCTACGAAGAGGATTTTCTGAAAATCTCTACATGCAACCCACTAATTAATATTAATATGATTATTTTGTTAGTGCCAAGTATATGAGTTTTAATTATTGAGCAGTACCAATATTTTTTAATTACAATATAATTATATGATAATTAATTTTTTTAATTAAAATAATTATAATACGTTAAAAATGTGATCTGTTTCTTTTTTTTTTTAATTATCAAAAAAATATATATATATATATATATTAAAAAAAAAACAGGCTCTTAGCCAAAAACTAACAAAAAAGAAACTGATTATATTTCTATTTTAAGTATTTATGGACTCCATTACATATATATACACACACACACGTAAGGACATGCAATCATGATTTTCTTCACATAAATCCAAAAGAGGGTTGCAGCCCGGTGGATATATGCTTATAACTGTCAATTGAGGATAAATTTTGTATGCCATTACTTAAATTAATTTATATATATATATATATAATTGATTGTTAGAATATCTAAATACATAATTACTATAGTATTAAATTTTAATTTTATTAAATTAAATATTATGAATTAATTATCGTTAATCTATAATATATTAATTAAATAATAAAAAAAATTTATAAAATATTTCAAATAATGCATAGTAATGTTACCATTTTTTAATATATATTTTTTTATTCAATAAAAGAGAAGAAGGAAAAAAAAAAAAGCCTGTTGCATGAATGGCATTATTGGGCTGCCAAAAATGTGAAATGCCAACTACTTTTTAGTCTTTATTTATTTTTTATTTAATAAAATATAATTAGTTTATAAAGTTGGCAGCTTGGACATTCAGATGTGTGGATGAGTAGCTGGGCCTGGCTGGGCTGGTCGTATCTTTTCCAAGCCATCGTTAATTTATGCATGTATATAAAATATTAAATTTCAATTTTTTTTAAAAAAAAAAAAAAATCATGTAATGTGTGTGTGTATATGCATGTATACACACACACACACACCACTCCACCAATGCTCGGTTGATTATCCATTTGAGCAGTAGATAATATTACTGTAAAACTATGGAACTTCAAATATATATGTATATATATATGGATGTATATAATCTCGTTTCTGACACTATGTTTTTCTCCAAAATTTTCCCCAAAATATATAGGAAGATGGCGGTGAATGTAAGTAGGTGTAAATCTTAATGCAGACATCAGTGGACTCAGACTCCTCTGTGGCATGTGTAGGACCCACTTCCTGCTTATTATTAATTATCTAATTAAATACGCTTTAATTTCCATTTAATTGCATCTTTTTTTTTGGTTTTAAATTTAATTAATCCTTATTTATTTTCAACTTTCAATTAGCCTTCCTGGGTTAAAGTGCTGATTTTGAATTATTAAGAAAATTTCATGATTATTTACCTTAAATTTTGCTTGTAATGAAATGTTGACCGTGGACCAGCAAATTACTGTGTTTGGTCAAATTTCAGTCAAAGTTTAGTAACAGTATCCTCTTACTATTCAATTTTGATGTCTGGTTGGTTCAAGCAAAGGCCCTAGACCCAGTAATCCCCAGGAGGCAAATGGGCGGGCATATGCGAGAAGAATTGCCTGGTTATAAATGCCAATAAACCGTGTTTGACCTTGTAAATCCCGTCCGCCATGAAAACCTCTCCTACTCCTTAACAAATACCTCGCCTAAAAATCAACTACCAATCTCTTTCTTGATTCGCCTTTGTTTCCTGATCTGGGTTTCTGATCTGAGTTGTCTGTCGGAGAAGCTCCGGTGTTTTGGTCCGCTGTGGTCTGACATGGCGGACAAAGTTAAACAAATCTTGGCCAAGCCGATCCAATTAGCCGACCAAGTGACGAAAGCGGCGGATGAGGCTACCGGTTCGTACAAACAGGACTGCGCCGAGCTCAAGGCCAAGACGGAGAAGCTTGCGGCGCTGTTGCGGCAAGCGGCGCGGGCGAGCTCTGAGCTGTACGAGCGGCCCACGCGGCGGATCGTTGAGGAAACGGAGCAGGTGCTGGAGAAAGCCCTGTCCATGGTCCAGAAATGTCGAGCTAATGGCCTCATGAAGCGCGTCTTTACCATCATACCCTCCGCGTCTTTCCGTAAACTCTTCTCTCAGTTGGAGAACTCAATCGGCGACGTGTCGTGGCTGCTGCGTGTCTCCGCGCCGGCTGAAGATCGCGGTGACGAGTATCTGGGTCTGCCCCCAATCGCCGCCAACGAACCGATCCTCTGCCTCATATGGGAGCATATCGCAATTCTCTATACCGGGTCCCTCGAGGATCGATCCGATGCGGCCGCCTCGCTCGTCTCGCTGGCGAGGGACAACGATCGGTACGGCACGCTGATCATAGAGGAAGGCGGCGTGGGGCCGCTGCTGAAACTGGTGAAGGAAGGAAAGCCAGATGGCCAAGAGAATGCGGCCAGGGCAATCGGGCTTCTGGGTCGCGACCCGGAAAGCGTGGAGCACATGATCCATGCCGGTGTCTGCTCCGTTTTCGCCAAGGTCCTCAAAGAAGGTCCGATGAAAGTTCAGGCCGTGGTGGCCTGGGCTGTGTCAGAGCTCGCCGCCCACCATCCGACATGCCAAGATCTCTTTGCGCAGCACAATATCATTCGCTTGCTCGTTAGTCACTTGGCATTCGAGACAGTGCAGGAGCACAGCAAGTACGCCATAGCCAGCAACAAGGCTACCTCCATTCACGCCGTTGTAGTAGCCAACAACAACAACAAGAACAAGAACAATCCTAACGCCAACACCAACAATCTGATCAATTTGATTGACGACGACGATAAGCAGACTCAAGTCCAGATTCCTCATCCCATGAATCATCAAACTCCTAATCAGATGCACAATGTGGTTACTACTACCATGGCCATGAAGGCTGCTGGGTCCAAGCCGCCACTTTCCGACGATGCTACGAACCAGGCTAGTCATGATAGCAAGAGCAATTTCAGTAACCAGAATGGCGTGAAGAACGTCAACTATCTCCACCATCAACAACATTCATCGTCTCTTTCTGGCGCCAACACTAAAGGCAGAGAACTCGAAGACCCTGCCACCAAGGCCAACATGAAGGCAATGGCAGCGAGAGCGCTCTGGCAACTCGCTAAAGAAAACGCACCCATTTGCCGCAGCATCACCGAATCCAGAGCTTTACTCTGCTTTGCGGTTTTGCTGGAGAAAGGGACCGAACAAGTTCAATTCAATTCCGCCATGGCATTGATGGAGATCACAGCAGTAGCGGAGAAAGATACTGAGTTGAGAAGGTCTGCGTTCAAGCCTAATTCACCCGCGTGCAAAGCTGTGGTGGATCAGCTCCTGAGAATCATCGAAAAAGCCGATTCGGACTTGTTAATTCCCTGCATAAAAGCTATTGGGAATCTAGCAAGAACATTCAGAGCAACAGAGACTAGAATGATCACTCCATTGGTGAAACTTCTCGACGAGAGAGAGGCGCATGTTTCCAGAGAAGCTGCAATTGCACTCACAAAATTTGCTTGCACGGACAACTACCTGCACCTCGACCACTCAAAGGCAATCATAAGCGCCGGCGGCGCAAAGCATTTGATCCAGCTTGTCTACTTCGGGGAACAAATCGTGCTGGTCTCGGCTCTGGTTCTCCTTTCCTACATTGCCCTTCATGTGCCAGACAGCGAAGAGCTGGCGCAGGCCGAGGTGCTGACTGTTCTCGAATGGGCATCAAAGCAATCTCACATGACTCAGGAAGAGACAGTGGACACGTTGCTTCAAGAGGCCAAAAGCCGGCTGGAGCTTTATCAGTCCAGAGGCTCAAGAGGATTCCATTGACTGTTGCGGTTCCTGAGAAAAAAAAAAAAAAAAAATTGTTATATTTTTTCTTTTTGCATCTTGGGTTGTGTAAAACAACTTCTTGGATCTTGTTTTTGTTCCCCAATTCATCAAAATTCTAATTGAGTGTACATACAAGTAGACATCTTGTGTAAATTACATTTTCACGAAAAATCTGAAATCCTCTTTTAACGAGTTTCTTCAGAGTTTGCTGCCTTTCACCGATTCTTCGCTTTTCCTTGCTGGTTGTTGTCAATGTCAAATTAATTCGTAGGCCCGAACCCAAGAATCAAGAACCAAAAATGCAAAAACTCAATTCGTATGATTTATTGATCTTCAATGACCGAATTGAATGCCGTCGCGTCATGATTCTCTTGTTCTTCTGTGCTGAAATTTTCCTTTTTTCCGGCAACGGGAATCAAAATGGGTCCATAAATTTCATATTTTGCTTGAAAGATGGCGGTTTTGTGTATTATTGGTAGTTTGGTTCGTTGAGTTGAAAAGGGTCTTAGCTTATATGGTATACAAATAATAATAACATAACAACTGTTATATATGTATAGTACCCAAAAGTGTATTTCATTCGATATAGTTTTTGTATATTAAGACTTTTCCCCCAATTGATTTTATGATGAGGTGGGAATAAGAGTTGTCAACTTCATATACAATAAAATTATGAAAATACGAAGCTCACATATTTACCACATTAAATCTATTTGAATTTAATAATAATTAATTTATTGGCCAAGCTTTATGTTGACCTCCGATAGTTGCTGGTTTGTTTAGGAGCAAATGGGCAAAGCAAAGGAGAAATAGTCAGCCTGGTGACTTTGGACGCATTCAAAATAATTTATTTATTAAAATATGATTCTTTATTTATATAATAACTGAATTTGTAATTTTTTTTTTTTTGGTTATGATTCATTAAAAAAAAAAAAATTGATAATTAATGAAATTTACCAGATTATTTATGAATTTATGAGTAATAAAAAAAATAAATATGTTTTTAATCATTTAATTCTTTTAATTATATATATATACAAATAAATTTAGGAGAAACACTAGGGTGTATAGAAGGGGCCCACATTCCTTTCATTATCCAGCAATCAATCATGAATCTAATGCGCACCAAAACAAATGGAGTTGTTACTATCCTTTTCTTTTATTTAGAAATTATAATTTTTAATACAGTTGTAAAATATATTTTTTTATTTTAAAAATATAATAAGTTCGTAATTATTAAATTAAATAATATAAATAAATAAAAAATTTATCAAAGAATATAAAAAGTATTTTCTATTTCATAATTGTGTTGATGTTTCATTTTTTCTTCCACAACTTTGAAATTATTGTGAATAATTTCAGTACATGAATATACCATTCATTAATAATTACATACACCACACAGTTATATATACACATACTCTAATTCATTCACTTTTGCAATTTCATTAATCATTCGTGCTTTTGACCAAACAAATTATGAATTTTTTTATGATTCTTTTTATTTTAGAGATTGATTATCGGAACGGTCGACGCGTAACTAAAAGTATGTATGAATTTAATGATTTAATCCGCCCTTTTGCTTGCTCCATCACGTCCGCATTGTATTTATAATTAATAAAATTTTAATTTTGTACAAACAAAAATCATTATGAATATTCACGAATGTACATTTGTGATGTTATACGCGAAAGGTATGTATATGTGTATAGATATAAAGTAAAGTGAATTTTGAAGAGACGAAATCAAATGCGGGGATTGAGAGTAAATGGCATCCTCCAGTTGTAATGGTACGGAAACTGAAAGCATCAGGCCGGGGTGGGGGGACCTTTTTACGTTGATTTTTAAGTCTCCTTTTCCGGCGGTCATGGACACGCGCCGCCGTGATTGTCTCCGTCAAATCCATTTCAAATATTAAAAGAAAAAATTTATACCATCTTTAAAATGTATTTTCATTTCAGATTACTAAATTAATTTTTAAACTGTATCGTTTTTTACAGTTTAATTTTTATATTTTTGTATTACAATTTGATATAATTTAATTTTTTTTGTTTTTCTAATTACAATTTTTATTTGTATTTATGCCGTTTATGAGTTAAATAGGTTTGCCTCGACTTCCCTGTCCAAATATTATATATATACTTTATTTAGACATTTTATATATAGAATATTAGGTTGAATTTGCATTACTTTTTATAAGTGAATCCGAATTTGATCCATTTCTATTAAGTGAGACGAAAAAAAACTTAATCGTCTCAGTTTGATTCGGATTTAGTTTAAACTCATAATATACTCAACGGATCAAAATAAATTTGATGGATTTAACGAAAATTAAATAATAATAAAAATATTATGATCTAAATTATATAAATATTAAATTTTATGAATTAATTTGATAATTTGTTCATATTATTATAATAAGGCTGGATTTTACAGTTATATTAATATATTTTAGTTGTAGATATTTGCTGTATTTTTCTTTGTGTTAATATGGCCTTTGGCAAATGTTTTATGTTAAAAAATTAAAATAAGTATTAAAATCATTCAAGTATAGATTTATGGTTTTTTGATTTTTTGGTTACTTGTATTATTTAGATATAAAAAATTAATATGTACAAAAATTTTAAAAATATAAATTTGACTGAAAAATAAAAATATATAAAAATTAATAAATTATTATTTAATTGAATGATTGATACATTATATTATATATATATATATATATAAAATCGTATATTCAAGTTGGATCAAGTTTTGGAAGGTACAACCTTTTCAAACTTTTTTTTTTTAATTATATTATAATTAATTTATATACTCTAAATTAATAAATATATAAATATACTCAAAATAAAATATCACGAGTTCGCAGTGGCTAATGTCGTTTATTACCGTTAGTTTGAATGAGGTGAAGAAGAAGAAAATATCAAAGTGAGATTTAAGTGGCCAGAGAGTCAGGTCATAAAGGGAGAGGAGGTTTTAGAGTCATACATTTTGTGTAAAAACTTATCCTCATATAAGCCACTGCAATTGCCTTTACATTCTCCTCCACCCACCCCACTTCACATAATCCTCAAAAATCCAATCAAATTTCGTGCCTTCATCTCAATTCCCATCTCCCATTTTGATCAATTTCTCTTCTTCTTCTTCTTTTTCAAACCCAGCCATGGCTGCTGCAGTAACTGCTGCAGTATCTCTTCCTTCTTCCAAATCCTCATCTCTCCCCTCCAGAACCTTCATCATCTCTCCTGAAAGAATCACCTTCAAGAAGGTAAAACACTCTACAACAAATTCTCATTCTGGATATAATGCGTAATGTTTTGTTGTGTTTATCTTTTTTTGGTTTATATACACATATATGTATGTATATCAGGTTGCTCTTCAGCACAGAGATGGAGGAGTGAGAGTGTCAGCGCCCATTAGAGCTCAGGTTACAACTGAGGCGCCGGCTAAGGTTGTGAAAGAGTCCAAGAAGCAGGACGAAGGAGTGGTGACTAACAAGTACAAACCTAAGGAACCCTATGTTGGGAGGTGCCTTCTGAATACCAAGATCACTGGTGATGATGCTCCTGGAGAAACTTGGCACATGGTCTTCAGCACTGAAGGTTTAATATATGGATGAAACTCTCAATGGTTTCTCTTTCTTTCAAATTATTCACATGTCCACTCACTCCATGTTTATGACATAAATCCTGAGAGAATGTAATTTCGTCTCTGAACTGATAATTATGTGGAGTAAGTATAAGATTACAACTTAGTAGATTATTGATTGAGCCAATTACTAGTAGCTTTGACCATATATATGCTAAATTATTTAACAAGAACAAGAAAAGTGTTTCGATTCTATTTTGAATTCAAGATAGTGATATTTTTAATTCCTAACTAGTTAAGTAACCTTAGGAATTAGAAATCCATGATTCATGATGAAATTAAAGGTATTCATATATGTATGTATACAGGTACATATATGATATAATTCTAGATGTATTACAAGAGTATTTTCACTGCAAAGTAAAGTGTTGGAATTGAACAAATTGAACTGGTAGGAGTTTGATGATTTCTGTTGATTAGATCATGATAAGGGTGTTGGTTAAGTTGAACTGATTAGATTTGTTGGGTTGATTAGGAGAGGTTCCCTACAGAGAAGGGCAGTCCATTGGGGTGATTGCAGATGGTGTTGACAAGAACGGGAAGCCTCACAAACTGAGGTTGTATTCAATTGCCAGCAGTGCTCTTGGTGATTTTGGAGATTCCAAGACTGTAAGCTCAAAATGTTGCAAATATATTTTCTTTTATTTATGAATTCTGTATTGAGCTTACATAATAATTTGCATATTCTCCTATCTATTTGCAGGTTTCTCTGTGTGTGAAACGACTTGTTTACACAAATGAGCAAGGAGAAATCGTCAAAGGAGTTTGCTCAAATTTCTTGTGTAAGGATGAAGCAAATTAGGGATAAACTTCTAAGAATGTTTGACAAGGAACAGTTCTTCATTAAGGCAGACCTGATTAGTGATTAAAATGGCTTTTGGTTTCTCCTTTTCAGGTGACTTGAAACCTGGGGCTGAAGTAAAGATTACAGGACCTGTTGGGAAAGAAATGCTTATGCCAAAAGATCCCAATGCCACAATCATTATGGTTTTACACGATTAAACATTTTTTTTTTCGAGGATCATGCAGTACTTATCTATTGCTTTTTCTCACCCAGTTTTTTTTCTTCTGAATGCAGCTTGCGACAGGAACTGGTATTGCCCCTTTCCGGTCATTTTTGTGGAAAATGTTCTTTGAGAAGCATGAAGATTACAAGGTATAAGAAAGATGAAGCCTGGTTTTTTTTTTTTTTTTTCTTTTTTTCCCTTTTGGTTCCTAACTGACCATTAAGGAATTATCAATATATCATACACTATCATTTACGAAAGATAATTGACAAGCATTGAGAGTTGTCCTCTACCTAATGCAAAGACATTGATTACTTTCTCGCTTGCGACATGAATATAGATGAGTATGCTGATGACTTATGTAAAGACTTAGGTTATGTTTGGTTCAATTGCCTTTCAAATTGAGAGTTGAATTCATATTGTCAAGGAATTCAAAGTATAAGCAATAGTAAAATAAAATAAATTGTATTCTATAATTATGAGAATTAGTATTTTAGTAATTGATTGAAAATTCAACAAGAATTGAACCAAACACATTGCTGTGTCTTCTTTCAAACATTGTCTGAAAATGGTGCTTATAAATCAAGACTCCTGCCTATTTTCTACTTGTCAAGTAATTGGTTTCTCATTAATGTATGAAAGTCTCAGCATAATTGGTCAGGTAAATTTACTATATTTCGAGTGCCTTATTTCTTTTTCTTTTTCTTTTCCTGCCATAAGCAATCTATTATTAGATGATTACTGATTTAGCTTTTGACATTATGATTTTAGTTCAATGGTTTGGGATGGCTGTTCTTGGGTGTCCCAACAAGCAGTTCTCTGCTTTACAAGGAGGTAAACTAGACAAAAAAAAACTTTCCTTACTAGCAGGATGCTTTAGTTTCAATTTCCTACTGTCTTTTAGCATTAAACAGTTGCTCAATCTGCTGAGACTTACGCTGAGCTTCCTCGAGTCAGGAATTTGAGAAGATGAAGGAGAAGTATCCTGACAACTTCAGGCTTGACTTCGCTGTGAGCAGAGAGCAAACTAACGAAAAGGGAGAAAAGATGTATATTCAAACCAGGATGGCTCAGTATGCAGAAGAGCTATGGGAGTTACTCAAGAAGGATAGCACCTATGTTTACATGTGTGGATTGAAGGGGATGGAGAAGGGAATTGATGACATAATGGTCTCTTTGGCTGCTAAAGACGGTAAGTGTATAGTAAACCATACATTAATAAGAGAGTATAAACTGTTCCAGAAGCACAGATATGTTAGCAGACCCCATGTATATGATTGGTGCATTTCAAATTTTCGTAGTAATCCACTTATATTTATTGGGTTTTGCAAATTCGTCTATGCCCCTGCAGTATCTAGCTCTTTTGCCACATAAGTTAACCCGAGCAGAAGATTTACAAAAACAAAAAGAACCATTAGGAATTATACATATATTTCAATAAGTATACACAGTTGATAAGTTACATAAAGGAAATGATTTTCTTTATGAATTCTTTAGTATCACTAGTTATAGACCTTGTTTGATCAAACTAACAAGGATTTAGTCTCAGTACAAGAAAGTGATTTGAGAGTACACTAATCTTACAAGAAAAAAGAACTATACAACCAAAGCTCGCTTACTTCATTTCTTTCTCAGTGTGGACTTTCCGGTGTAGGATGCGTAGTAACTTTATGAAAAAATGTTAACTAACAATTTACATGTAGAAATTAGGTAATATTGCCTGTAATGGGTGTTTGCTTTAATTTTCAGGCATTAATTGGATTGATTACAAAAAGCAGTTGAAGAAAAGTGAGCAATGGAATGTGGAAGTGTATTAAAGAACTCTGGATTTCTTGTACAAACCCCTCTTTTTCTTTTTTTGATTTCTCATTTTTCCATTTGGAGGAGTTAAATTACTCTGTAATGATTTTCACTGCATGGTGTAAATAGGTAAGCCCCCCCCCCCCCCCCTGTAATTTTTCTTTATACATTTTTCTCTTTATTAATTGGAGCTAATTAATTAGCCTTCCTTGCAAGTTTATTTAACTGATAATGGGAAGCCACCAACTCCATAGCAAACCCTATTTTTCTCAAAATTCTTTATTTTTATTGTTTTCATAGATATAACTGAGTGATTGTTTGGTCATTTAAATATATGTGTGTGTGTGTATAAATAAACCCGAAATTAATGCATGTTAATTCTTTATTTTTTAAATAATAGTTATTTATTTAAAATTTTAAATATAAGAATTATTTTTAAAGATATTAAAATAAAATTAATGTAATGAAATAGATAATAACTAAATTATTTATTTGATATAAAAATCTTTAATTTATTTTACATGTTTTTCATAAAAAAAATTAAGGATTATAATTTTTTTTATGGGAAAACTTTAGTTATTATTTTATTATAAAGAAATTTCTTTTGGGAAAATGTTGACTATTTTTGTAATAGTTGACAAGTTTGATTGATTATATCAGAAATATATATTTATACTGGTGAAATTAAAAAAAAAAATGAAGTAAAATTTTTTAATAAGAAAAACAATTAATTTACACCGAATATATCCTTTTTTTTATATATATAAAAACAAAATATAATTGTCGAAAATATAAAATAAATGAGTTCAGCCAACCAAGCCCAATTTTTTTGGGCCGATATATCGGACTCGGGTAGGCCCAATACCCAGGGAGTAATGCGGCAGAAAGATATTAGGCGGTGAGTGGTTGAGGGTATAAGATTGCTTACGATAGACTCAACATCATGGGATCATTCAATGATGCCAAAAAATTGCGGGGAGGAAGGAGTTCTTTACTTTTTAAAATATGCTAAAATAATGATTTAGTTTATGTAAATAATTATATTAATACTTATATTTTTCTTAAAAAAATTTATTTAATTTTTTTTATTAATAGAAATTAGTGATCTAAACTTTATAGATCAATTATAAAATTTTTTTATACGTGATATCTTTTGATAAATTATTAATTTATATAAAATGTCACGTGATATTTAATATAATAATTGAATTTTATTAGTTTCAACTAATTTAAATTATTTTAAATTAAAAAAAACTATATAGATTCAATGAATAATAAAAATGATAAAGTTTTCTGGTTAATTTTTTTGTTTAATTATTAAAAAAGTTCTAAAAAAGTAAGAAGTACAAAGTAGTTGATAGACATCTTGGTACCCATGAATCTGATGCGGTTTATAACT